TTGGGAGGCGGAATTGAGGCCATGATAGTGGAGGGAGGAAGTATTAAGAACCAGAGGAATATTGTGTGTTTCGTCGGTACTATACAGAACCCTGGATGTATTGTCCTTTCCATGTGGCCGAAGGGGATGTCCAGTTATCACCAGATGGGCTTTGGGTCTCCATGCTGACCCCTCTCCTTCACATCGATATGGTTGCTGTGTTTTGAACTTCTGATACCTCTTCCCATCGTGGCATCTTGTGATCACACAGGCTGGGGTGTTTCTTCCATGTGGACTTACTTGCTTCCCTGCTAGATGGCTGCTTGTTTGACTTCAAGCTTTTAAGACCCCAGATGCTATATCTTTTAGTAGCTGGGCACCATCAGCTTTCTTCACTACATTTGCTTATGCACCCATTTTGTCTTCAGCAATCGTCTCAGGAAGGTGAGTATCACATAGTGCCACCCTATTAGAACAAGGTGTTCTTGTGTTGAGGGAGCACTTGAGTAGAGGCCCAAAGTCCATCTGCTACCTTAATACACTGACATATAAATATATGTACATACACCACTACCCCTATCTTTATATGTTAATATACTTACATCTATACAAGTCTATATTTATACCTCCCTCTATAGTTTTTACTTCCCAGTTCTTCCCTCTATTTCCTTTACTTTCCTCCTGCCCCACTCTCATGTTCACTCCTCATTTGCCTCTCAGCAATTCCTCTTGGCTACATTACAGTTGATCAAACACAACCAGGAAAGCTACACCCTCCTTGCCATTGCTTCTAGATCCCTTGTTGTTCTCTGGTCCCTGACATTACTGCCTCACTGCTCCCTTCCACCCACACCCCACCTCCTCCTCTTCCACACCCCCTACCCAAACCATTGATCCAGTTGCTTTCTCCTGGAGATTACTTATCCTACCTGTCTTATATAGATAGACATGAGCAAACAAACCCATCTATAAATAGGTCCAGGTCTATCTGCTTACCTTTATGCATGTCCCCCAACCAGGTCGGTCAGGTGAGGTGCCAAATACTGCCGCAGAGTCAGAAGTCTATTTTCGGGATTCCTCATGGACTTTGTGACTTTGCTTCCATTGCTGTTCTGTTGTGCTCCCTTCTAGATTTGCCCCAGTGTGTGTGTGTGTGTGTGTGTGTGTGTGTGTGTGTGTGTGTGTGTGTAGGGTGTCAGACTGGACACACCGCGTCTCTGGGGTTGTCCTCTGTAGCACTGTGATCCAGTGAGGGGACGTCATGTCTGGAGCTGGAGTTGGCCCCATGGTCCTCTCTTCACATTAGCTGCTCCGAGCAGGAACATTGCTCTTAAGGTTTGGTGTGCCAGGATGAAGTCTAGTCTCTCTCTCTTCTCTTAGTTTGCTCCCATGTGAATGGGACAGACCGGCTACTCTCCCCAGCCTGTATCTTCAGTGTTGCCCTCTGCTAGAAGACTGTAACCCTTTACGAGAGTAGAAAGCCTCCTTTTCATCCCGAGGAGTGCTGGTGGTTTCGAACTGCTGACCTTGAGGTTAGCAGCCCAGTGTGTAACCACCACACCACCAAATCAATTACTGTCATTCCCCTCTCAGAAAATAGTGGATTGTCCCCAAAGCACGAGTCTTACCTGCACTCGTCATTTATGTTGCATTTGCTAAGTACAGACACCTGACACCGGAAGGCAGTCATGCAATTTGACCTGTGGGGTGACAGGAGAGAATCCATGGGCTGTAGAAGGGCGGTTACGTAATCGTGCCCTGGCTGAACGCGGCAGCCCTCAGTTCTGCACAGTTACCAGCAGGGGGCAGGAGCCGATAAAGTAAAAGTACATGGCCCAGCTCAAGCAGGTGTTTCCAGGACAGTTGGGGCAGAGGAGTCAGAATGGGGTGGGGGCATGACAAGCCAAAGCCAACCAGAAGCTATCCCCCTGGGACACCATATGGAAGGGACACAGGCGACAAGTGGGTTTGAAGTCAGATTTAAAGACACACTTGTGGAGGACAAAGTTTGTGAAATAAACGTCGATCTCCAATCAGGAAAAGATGCGATTATGTTTGGTCTCCCTTTTGACCCATCCAAAAGCTGTTTCAGTTTTTTAATATTTTCGGCTTCCTTTTCTATTGCAACTTTTCTCTGCTTTGCTTTGCCATTGTTGTTGGTTTGCTACTTCCTGTTTGTGTGTCGTATGATTTTCTGTCTATGAAATCCAGGAGGAGGTAGCTCTACAGAGACAGCACTCAGATCAATAACGACCTAGGGGCATGGCAGGCTGGCATGGGGGTCGTTATTGATGGGGGAAGGCTGGGGGCTGGGGAGCTAACCGCAACGAGGGTGAGAAGAAACTGTTCTGAAATGGGGTGTGGCGATGATCGCGCGACTCTTTTAAATACGATTGAATGACTAATTGTGAATGTGAATTATATACCAATAAAATGATGCTTTTAAAAAATGATTGTGCCCTGACTCCCTTGAGAGTTTCTTTTTCTCTTTCTATAAACCGTTTTATTGGGGGCTTTTACAGCCCCGAGAGCTTTCATACACCCCTTAGTCACATTGTAAACAGCTAATGAGAAGACCAGGGCTTCAAACCCCCAGCCACTCCCTGGGAGACAGACGAGGGCCCTTGTCCGCTCCAAGAAGGATTTCCAGCCGGGGAACCTGTGTAGGGTCACGAGGCGTCGGAGTGGACTCACGGCAGTGGGTTGCTTTTAGCCACATCTGGCCCAGTGGAGAGGATGAGAGAAGGGCTACGTACATCTGAGGCATTTGTGACCGCACTAGATCCCCCTGAAATCACCCTCCCGTGTGGTTGACAGGCACCGGTGAGTGCAGTGACCCCACGTCACAGGGGAGCACTGCCCACAGGGGTTTCTAGCTGTGATCGTGATGAGAGCTGATCGCCATGTCTTTTCCCCAAGAGCCTTCCCGTTAGCCAGTTTCCTGAAGTTCCCCGGAGCTCCCTTAAGGGGCCCTGGGCACTGTGGTTAAGTTCTGGGATGCTGACCGGAAGGTCTATGGTCGTTGAGTCCACCAGCCACGCCCCAGGAGCCTGCTTCCTTCACGACGTACAAACTAGGGACCCTATGGGGTAGTTCTACTTGGCTCTCTAGAGCAGTGGTTCTCAACCTTCCCAATGCTGCGACCCTTCCCTACAGTTCCTCATGTGGTGGTGACCCCCCAACCATAAAATGATTTTCGTTGCTACTTCATCACTGTCAATTTGCTACAGTTATGAATTGGGCGACCCCTGTGAAAGGGTCGTTCAGCCCCCAAAGGGGTCGCGAGACACAGGTTGAGAACCGCTGCACCTGGCGCCACCGTGAGTGGGAATCCCCGTGGCAGTGGGTAGCTCGGCCTCCAAGGACTCCGTTCTTGCAGTGCAATCGTAAGATACCTTTATTGGGCAGGCTAGCCACCACTCATGCCGTTCCCAGGAGAAGGAGGCTGTATAGGGGCACGATGGCGTTCACATGCAGGCGCTGTCTGAAGGGCCCTAAAGCGGAGGGCAGCCTGGGCCTTGGTGTCAGGGCTCACGGGCTGAAATGAGCTGGTTTGGCTTTTGTGGATTTCAGGGTCTGGAGCCAAGAACATAGTCCAAGGATTCCCCCATACCCTTTCTCAGAGAAGCTGTCCCAAAGCAGAGTTGTTACCAGGGATGGACTGGCAGTTGGGCAGGGACCAGGCTCCAGCCAACTCTCTCCAAGGGGTCCTTGCCCCTGGCTGCCCAGTGGCTCCAAACCCGTGCTGCCCCGAAGAGCAAGTGGGTTAGGCTCCAAGAAACACTGCCTTTCAGAAAGGGATAAAGTGCAGGAGTCCAGCTATAAAACCATGGGCATCTTCCGTACTGAGGGTGCGGCTCTGAGTCGGCGGGCAGAGAGCCTGGCCTGGGCATCACGGGCCCCAGGGAGCATGGCCATTCGGAGCTGGTGCGTTTATTGCTGGCCTTGGGACACATCCCTCTCTTACCACCACCTCCTGCTTTGAATGAGCGCAGAGAGGAGCTCTCTATGAGGGTTCAAGGAGAGGGCC